CACTGTAGGATTTGGTAGTAAGTCATGCTGACCAACACAGGATCCACCACCTGAGTCATGCCTTCTGAGATTAGTCGTTGCCAAAACTCAAGCCTACCTAATCCCTGGATTTCCCATTGCTTTCTCCAATTTGGCATGTTTTCAAGATTGGGTCTCTGCCTAGATGTCCCTTTAATTTTTGCCAGTTGCTCTGTCTAGTAGACCTTTAGCCTTCAAAGACAGGAGCCATGATTAAGATACAGAACTCTTCCATCACCACAACTCTTTCATGCTCTTTGTATTTGTGCCCCTTTCTTCCCAACCTTCCTCCCCCAGCCAGTCCCTGTCCCCTGGCAACCACTAGTTTGTGCTCTGTCTCTATACTTTTAATATTTCAAGAATGTTATATAAATGGAATCATATGGTATATAACCTTGTGAGACTGACTTTTTTTCACTAAGCTTAAGACCCTTGGGGTCTATCCAGGTTGTTTTATGTCTCAATAGTTCATTCTTCCTTATTTTGAGTAGTATTCCATTGTATGGATGTACCAGGGTTCAACTATTCACTTATAATCTAGCAGATTTGGGTTGAAGGACATTAGGTTATTTCCAGTATTTTCTTCAAATTGATATTTGAATTGACAATTACAATTAAGGTTATATGAACATTTGTATACAGGTTTTGTATCAGTTTTCATTTATCTGGGATAAATGCCAAGAGTGTGATTGTTGAATTATATGGAAAGGGCATCTTTAGTTTTGTAATAAACTGCCAAACTATTTTCCAGAGTGGCTGTACCATTTTACAGTCCCACCAACAATGTATGGGAGACTAAGTTTCTCCACAGCCTCACCAGCATTTGATATTATCTGTATTTTTTATTTTAGCTGTTCTAATAGGTGTGTAGTGATATCTCATTGTGGTTTTAATGTGCATTTCCTTAATGTTAATGATGTTGAACATCTATTCATGTGCTTATTTGCCATACATGTCTCCTCCATAGTGAAATATCTGTTCATGTCCTTTGGTCATTTTACAATTGAATTCTTCATGTTTTTAATGTTGAATCTGAGGGTTCTTCTATATTCTAGACATAGACTTTGTCAGATATGTGGTTTGCAACTATTTTTTCCCAGTCTATAGTTTATCTTTCACTCTTTTAATAGTAACTTTCACAGCATAGGTTTTAAATCTTGATGAGAACCAATTTATTGATTTTTTTTGTTAGGTATCATGCTTTTGATATCATGTCTAAGAACTCCTCACCTATAGGACAAAGTAAGAATATATATTTGTATGCACTTGAATATGCATAAAGGAACTGAAGGGACATCCAATGTAAACAGAGTGTGGGGAACATGTGGTGGGTACAGGAAAACCTATACATACGGGGCCAAGGGTGGAAGTTTGACTTCTCATCTTTTTATATTATTCAATTTTTGAACTACATGAATATATTAATTTTTTAAAAAAGAGCATGGACCTTAGAGTCAGATCATAGCTGTAATACACACTCCACATACTGCTGGAGCTTGAGAAAGTTATTTATTTAACTGCCCTGAACTTCAGTTTTCCCACCTGTAAAAATAGATATCTCCGCAATGTTTTTATGAAGATCAAATAAGATAATGTATCGGAAAATACTCAGGTTAATAGTGAATCAACTATGGGATCAAACTATGAGTTGTATACCAACCCACCTTTGAAATCCACCCTCTGCAGAGTGGCCACTCAAACACTTGGCAATGATGGTGATGACAATGAAGAGGATGATGACTTCAGATACAGTTATGGGCATACATCCAACATGAAATCAGGCATCTTTTTCTAAAATTTTTCCTTTCCTAATATGACTGTGAAATGAGTCAAATACACTATTCTATTCTATACTAACAGCATCAAAGTAATGAGCAAACCTAGGCTGGCCACTGCTATGTTATTCTTAGAAGGAAAATTCACCTTTTCATTCCAGCTTACTGTAATTTTCATTTTGCTGGGCTAGAAATAAAAGGAATATTAGGGTTATAAAACATGAATGTTTTTTCTGCTGATAAGTATAATGAGTAATTTGTTTTAAAAATATTTTAAAAATCCGAATGACCTAATTAAAGTGGCATATCCCACCAGCAGCTAGCTCCGCGGGACAAAAGACCTGGCGATCAGCTCCCGTAAAGATTACAGCCTAGAAGACCATGAGGCAGTTCTGCTCTGTCCTATAGAGTCTCTGTGAGTTAGAATCTACCCAACAGCACACAACAACATGATGTAACAAATGGGACTTTAGAGACACAAAGCTATTTAACTCATTTTCTCTAAAAATTAAAATGTGTTTTATTTCCTCCAATTCCACAAGAAATGCAGGCTTGAGAGTTACAATAACTAGTACTTTGACATTTTTAATAAAACTATTTGTAATTTCTACCTACAGAGTATTTTAAAGGCAGTCTAAATTAAGGCATTCAATAGTGTCAGGCATAAGTTATGAACTGAACTGAATTAATATGCTCTAATTTGCTATTTTATTACTTAAAAGGGGAGGATGAACATTATTACTCTTTTTTTGTCCTGAACTATTTAAAGAACACAAAATATACTTTTATAGTATTCTAGAACATATAGTTTCCCAGAACTCTATGACTGGGTCATTAGAGTTAGCCACCCACTGGACTAGAACAAATTTAGCTTAATATGAAGCTGATGATTTAGTTAAAAAAAATTTTTTATTTGGCCTTCTGGCTTTTAAGCTTATTTGGGTCACAATAAAAAGAAAACAAAGAAAAAGTAATTGATAAATTCACTTCGTGTAATTCTGTAATTGATAGATGTACTTTGTGTAATTTATCCACCTAGCAACTTCAGGTACTTTCATATAGAATACAAAAAACTTTTGTTATCTTTCCAATTCTTAAGCTCACAATTGTGATACAATTCACAACCTAAAAATTATAAACTAACATGCCATCTGTTACTATTAATTTGAAAGATGTTGCCTCATTTGGACACTTTCATTACATTAAAGCATGAAAATCTGGACTTTTGAACCCTCAGTAACCCATAAAGAACAATGTATTTAAAATGCAAGCCTCAAAACAATTATTTCAAAGAATCTGAGGCCCAAATAGAGCACAAAATTAAGTTAAATTTTAGGTGCTTAACTTTAATAGAACTCAATATAAGCACTCATAAATTTTAACTGATTTTGCTTCCTTGTTTGGATTTATTTTGTTTACTGAGAGTCCATATAAGAGAACTCTGCAATTAACATGTTTATTAGAAACAGGTTTATACAGCATATATTGGTCATTTATTAGAATTTACAATTTCCTCGTCTGTCCATATCGTTAGTCCATAGTAGGATTCAAAGTTTATCTTTATTTTAATAAATCTAAAGCCACTCACAGATATGCAACAAGACTTAGTATCTGCAAATAATTTAAATGCTAATGTTATATTCCACCACAAAATGTGCCTTAAAATATCTGGTATTTACAAGGCAGAATGAAGATAGATGTTTATAGTTGAACATTTTTTGAAGCTAGGGCTTATTTTTATGAAGAAAACTTGGTTTAATAATTAGAGTTTCATATATCAGAGTTCAAGGTATTTGCTTTACACAATCTCAAATTTTAAAAGATTGAAAACATCAGCTAGTCAATATTTATACTGAGCAAGAATTATGTCTGGTTTTCTTTTCTTTAAAGCTGTCTGTTTACTTACTGGAGTCCTGGTGGTGCAGTGGTTAAGAGCTCAGCTGCTAACCAAAATGTCGGCAGTCTGAATCCACCAGTTGCTTCTTGGAAGCTCTATGGGGCAGTTCTACTCTGGCCTATAGGGTCGCTATGAGTCGGAATCAATCGACTCAACAGCAACGGGTTTGGTTTTTTATTTACTTACTACATTTTTGAGTTTACAGTTAATTTACAAATTTTAAATTATAAGGATAGTAATACATTTGCAGAGTTTAAAAAAGTCAAACACCACTTAAAAATGTTTATGGAAAAGTAATTTTATCCTGACACCTGCTCAGAGGCAATTTCGGCTCTTTAACAATTTCTTCTTTCCCTCTGCTGTTCTTAGCTAGCACTAGATGATTTGCTTAGGCAGTTTTTTTGTTTCGTTGCTTTTCTCTCTGGATAAAAGACTTAGCCAACCTCTGACAGCTCTGTAAAGCTTCTCTTGTTAACATTTCTCCACCCCATTAAACCTGTCAGATTATCCCATTTTCCCCACTGAGTCACCTTCCTGGAGCCACCATCCTCCTACATCTACCTGCATCTGTTGCTCTTTGAACCTGATATACTTTTCCCTCACCGTTCTGGGAATTCCCCTTGCCTCTTCCGTGTTGGATTCCGTTTCCTGGATACCATGTATTCCTTCTGGTTTACTTCTTCATTTAGGGAAGCACATTCCCGGTAGCTCTTGAGAAAGGGTATATGGGAGGTATATCATTTGAGACCTTGCCTGTCTGAAAATATCTATTTTACTATTACACTTAATGGGAAGCTCAGCAGAGTGTAACATTACAGACTGGAAATTATTTTTCCTCAAAATTATGATGGCACTTTCCAATACTGTTGTTAAAAAGTCTGATCTAATTATGAAGCTTTTTTTTTAACGTGCCTTTCCTCATCTCCTCCTTTAGAAGTTTAAAAAAAAAAAATCATCCCTGGTGTTCTGAAAGTTCCTGATATTAGGTTTTAGTGTGGGTCTTTTTTCATTCGTTGTGCTGGTACTAAGTAAACCCTTCAAGCTGGAGACTTATATCCTTCAGATCTAGAAATTTCCTTTATTTCTTTGATAATTTCTTCTCCGTCATTTTCTGTTCTCTCCTTCTGAAGCACAGGATGCCATACCTCTTGGATTAATCATCTAAATTTCTTGTTTTAATCATATTACCATCTTGTCTCTTTTCTTCTATTGTTAGATGACTTCAAATTTATTTTTTAATTTTTTACTGAATTTTAAAAATTTCAGTTATTATATTTGTATTCCCCAAGAATTCAGTCTGGTTTCTAATCTTTTTTTTTTTTTAATAGCATTCTTTTCTCATTTTATAGACGTAATGTCTTCTCGTATCTATTTAAAATTATTAATTATAGATTCTTTCAAGTTTTCTTCTGCTCTTTATATTATCTCTGTGTCAAGTAGGTTTCTTTTATCCTTTTTTTTTGAGTGGGTTTCTTTTCACATTGAAGATTTTCCTTAAATATCTGGTGATCCTTGGATGTCCATTCATATTTATGAGTTAGGCTCCAAGAAGCTGAAAGTTTTGGACAGGGAGAGAGGACCAGGGAGCAATCCTCAACTGGTGGACTTCATGTTGAGTGGCTAGGTAACCAATTCCATTACTACTAGGGACCCGCAAATGTCAATAACTTTCTCTGGGGTGTTCAGATTCTCCATAAGAGGCTATTCCAATCTTGTATCAGAGGTGGCCAGCTTTCTGAAGCTGAGTCGGGTAAAGTCAGGTTTCTGAAGTTGAAACTAAATTAGTCCTAGAGTTTAAAATTTATCTAAAACTGTCTATGTGTCTATTAAACTAAAGCCTCTGAAAGTCAGTTTCTTCAGAGAATAAATCTCTTATCTCCTAAATCCTAGTATTTGTCAACAAATTTGACTTTACCTGATTGACAGTCTTCCTGATTTTGCAAATTTTAAACCTGTGACATCACCCACCTCCACCACCCTTCCCCACCCAACTATCACCTTTCCAGGCTGAAGAGTTCTATGATTGTTTTGGTCAATCTTAAAAACCTCTCTGTCCCACTGATCACCGAAATTTTCCACTTCTGGGTTTTCTTCAATTCTATTAGGCCTTTCTTGAAGTCCTGGCATTAGAGAAGAATGAATTATTGCAATCAGAATAATAATACTGTCAGATGAGAAAAAAATTTTTTTTTCTTGGGCTTTTTGGTGACAATGTATTAGATGGCTACCTTCATGGAATCATTTATGAATAATTATAGTTCATAGCAGTACTTTTCTTTCATTTTATTAGCAAAAGAACCCTTTTTTCCAAATAAAATACTACATAAAACTAATCATAAGATGCTCTGGTTACAGTTTGGAAAAGTCTAAAGTCCCACAGCCCTTGTCCCTCCTCCTTCACACCTCATTCTACAAAGGTCCCTGGACATGTTTCCCAGGTAGCATGGAGTATAACATGAAAATTAGCACTTTCTAGTATCCTTAGATATTAAAGAAAAATGGAAGAATTGAAGCTTTTAAAGAAATAAATTAAATACTTCATAAAGGCTCTTTACTGGAACATCTATTAAAAATATGTACAATTCCTATCTTCCTAATTTACTCAAATGCACATAATATAAAACTTTTTGCTGGTGCTTATTTGGAAAACTGCCTTTTTTAAGCAGTCTAAATGGAAAAAGCATCAACTTAAACATATTCTAACTATTAGTATAGGACAAATTAGTAATTCCTCCTAAGATAGATGTCAATACAGTGCAAGATAACAAACACACATTAAAAATGACATGGATCGAGATTACTTTTTATTGCACATTTGCTTACATGTTTGCTTCTTTTGAGTAGAGCTAAACCTGAAATATTGAGTTACTTTTAGCTATATTTCCATCAACTGAATTACAGCAATGAATTGCCTGTCTATTCCCCTAGGCTTATCTTCCAGAATCTGAAACATTAACTTTCCCAATTTATTTAGATGCTGGAGCGCAGATTTATCATTAGTTTTTTTTTTTTTAAAAGTTAACCACTCAAAAACAAGCCAAACAGCACACTGTAAAGAAAACAAGCAATTTTTATGTCTATTCGTATAACCCAAAATTAGAGAATTTCTGGTTATGTAATAGTGTGTAAGTAACTATAAACCAGTCTTCTTCCAAACAATTCATTTCATGTATATATAATTAAGCATTTATTATAGAAAATTTTAACACTTTGAGAAACTGGATCTCTCACAATTAGGCTTTTAAAAGGCTCCCCCCCACATCAAAAAAAGAAAGAAAAACAAAAAAACGACTCCAAATCTTATAAAGAAACAAGTTGTCTTACCCTAAGCTGTTTAGAATAGTATTCATATTTACTTTCCATTCTACTCCATAGCTTAATGCAAAATGGAGAATGTGCTGTCCAAACTCCAATAATATGGCATTTGAGCAATTCAGGCTTTAAATAGACCTAGAACACTCACAGCCTAATAAAAAAGACACAAGAATGGAGACATAATAGCTATTATAGCAAACACAAAATTCTGGCCATTAATGGATCAGGAGTAAAGATTGATGCCCCTACTTTAAGCTCATCAATGTCATGAAAAAAGAAGAGTGACAACAGGTATCTGGCAAACATCTTCTAAATTATTTATACCAAATTAACAAATGGAAAAGTTATTTTTAATGCATCACTCAAATTTTACACTTCAATCATTCATATTTTCCTTTGCAAGATTATTCAGAAGAGACAATTCTATTTAAACTTAGTAAGTTTCTCCTTCCGTACATTTTTACATGAAAAGTTACTAAAATCACAACTCTGAAGAATTTATTTTTAATCATACAATCATTATATGCTTAAACTACAGTAAAGAAATTAGAACTTTTCTTATTCTATCTATAATGACCTGTTACCAAATGTGTAAGAACTCTTTTCCATAGCTTTTTTTTTTTAATATGTTAACAATCATGATTATGAAAAATGCATCTCAACTCCACAGTGGACTAGCAGCCATGCTTATTCCACATAGGTACTGCCAGTGGTCCCTGAGGTGTCCTTTCAACAATGACAAATTCATCAGGGTTGCTAAGTGCCTCATAGAAGACCAATAAATCTTGTATAGCATGCTCCTCAATCTGAAAAGGAGGGGAGAAAAAAGACTTACATTAATTCTTTTAATTATAAACTATAGTAGGATTATATTAGCTTTCCAGTTCCCTTTTGAGGAACTAACACTTTCCATGGATACAATACAGTGGATTTCAATCATGTATACTGCTATCCTCTAGTAAAGGAGAAGGCTTAAGGCCTGAGCTAGAATAATTAGATACTCACCCTCCCAGGAATTTGAATCTTGAGCAGAAGGAAAAAGAAACTGAAAATGATTGCTGGAATCCATTCATTCCAATAGCTTCACCCTGTCAGATACTTTCTGGTACTGTACAAATCCTCTAACTCTGGCTTGCCAAATCTCCAGGGCAACTTTGTGTCTTATCTCTTTCCAAGTCTGGCTCTCTGGTGTTCCAGCTCAGTCTGTGGAATCTTGTTATCCCTCAAATAAATTCCCTTTTTCTTAACTTAGCTAGAGAGTTGGTGTCTGTTGCTCACAACCTAGGAACTCTTAATGATGCAGAAACCAGTGTAGAGGAAGACATTACCAAATTCTCTATCAGTCACTTTAGAAAACTAAAACAAAGCATCACACAAGCTGCAAATACTAGTTTTATCACAATTTATTGTTTCTAAATTAGTTATGCTGAATCCCTCCAATTAGTACTTAAACTGCTAGAAGCCTCAGTTTAGTTTTACATGACATTTACATTTTAATTCGATAGACATATGTACCTGTGTAAAGCAAACAATTTTCTTAAGACCTAAGGATAAAACATAGGCTAGTTCTTCCCTAAGTTAAACCCTTACAGGTAGGTTCTTTACCTGAATCAGAGCCAAGGGTTTTTCTCGACTTCTGATAAGAGCTGCTTCTTGTTGTAGCTCTTCTTCTACAATAGATGCGAAAGTGACTGGGGCTACCGAAGGACCAGTCAACGAAGAAGACAGCCAAGGACTGAAAGAATAATAACAAGTTTTCATTCATCTTTCCAAATTTTTACACACAAAATCTCCTTGAAATGTTAAATTTTTTTCCTAGTGACATACAATGTAAAGGGACCTGGAAGCTTCTGCAGAGATTACAGGATGATGAGGTAGGAAATAGCAAAAAGGAAAACTAGTATTTTATTTGGATCAGTGCTGTAGCAAAAACTTTGGAAAATGCCAAAGAGTAGGTATGGAGAAGACATAATACAACTAAACAGAAAGGTAAGTATGGAGCAGAGAGTATTCAGATAATACATTCTATTTAATACCATACTATTTTCAATTTCTTAAAATTCTCTTTCACTGCTAAGTAGTGCTTAGTGTTGGAGGACCCAAAGCTAATTAATTAACCTTACTTGGCACTGTCTTGAAGTGGTAAATCTGAAATATGGTTGCCTTCGCCTGGAGTACCTTGGGTAGGGTATCTGCAAAACAAATGCCAAAACTGAAGATTAAAAGCTTTTGGTACTATTAGTAAAACCATTTATTAACAGAGATACTGAGGAGGAATTACAAGCCAGATTCATCAGACAAATCAACAAAAAGTGCAGTCAAATTTATGTGTAAAATTTTAACAAAATAATCTATAGATATTTATAAAATCGTGTGTATACAGCATCATTGAGGAAAGTCTTGCACTAAATGGTCTATGTTTTCCAATAATATTAATATGGCCATTTACAGTTACCAAACATACATTAGGAGATATAAAACTCTGTGAAGAATATCTGTTTCACATAAATATTATGAATAAAATGACAATTTAATACTACATTTCAAAATACGCAGAAACCAGATAATCAGCAGCCAAAATGTGTGCGCAACTAATATAGTAAATACTTTGATAAACTAGGGATTATAGATAGGACAGAAATACACGCATGGTCTCTACCTTCTAAGAAATCACAAGCTAGATGAGGAAACAACATATAAAACTTATAAAAAAGCAGAAATGAATTTAAAACACTATCTAACAGATTGAATGCTAATGACTATAAGGACTATAAAAATCAAAAAGTATTCTAGTCATTTGAGGGCCTCGTGGAGAAGAAAGAACTTGAGAATTACAGAGGGGTGTAGGATGAGGGGAGTAGAAAGCATTTCAGTACTAGAGAGATTTGCCTAACTGTGGGATTTTACAGGAAAAAAATTCCCTAGAGATTATCTAGATTAATCAGTGTCCTGAGAACACTGAGGCCTAGACAGGGTTAACAACAAAAAGTTAAACAGACAGTGAGTGAACAGGGCCTAAAACACCGACTTTCTGATTCATTTATGCACAAACATTTATTAGGCATGTATTACGTATCAGCACTATGGTAGCTGCTGAAAATTAGGCTGATTAAAACCCAGTTCCCAATCTACCTCAACTGGCATAACATAGCTTATAAAGAAAATGTTCTACATCCTACTTTGGTGAGTAGCATCTGGGGTCTTAAAAGCTTGTAAGCAGCCATCTAAGATACTCCACTGGTCCCACCCCATCTGGAGCAAGGGAGAATGAAGAAAATCAAAGACACAAGGAAAGTTTAGTCCAAAGGACTAATGGACCACAACTACCACAGCCTCCACCAGAATGAGTCCAGGCCAACTAGATGGTGCCCGGCTACCACCCCTGACTGCTCTGACCTGGATCACAACAGAGAGTCCTGGACAGAGCTGGAGAAAAATGTAGAACAAAATTCTAACTCACAAAAAAAGACCAGACTTACTGGTCTGATAGAGACTGGAGAGAAACCCCAAGAGTATGGCCCCCAGACATCCTTTTAACTTAGTACTGAAGTCATCCTTCAGTCAAAGATTAGACAAGCCTATAAAACAAACAATAACATAGTTCAACCACATATACAAGACTATAACGGGCACAGCAGCCCAGGAGCAAGGACGAGAAGGCAAGCAGGCACAGGAAGCCTGGGCGAACGGCAATGGGAACCCAAGGTCGAGACGGGGAGAGTGTTGACATGGAGCTGGCAACCTGTATCACAAAACAATATGTGCATTAATTGTCTAATGAGAAACTAATTTGCTCTGTAAACTTACACCTAAAATGCAATAAAAAAATAAATAAAACCCAGTCCCAGCTCCTCAAAAAACTCTGGCAGAGGAGATTAAAAAATATACTCAAACAGTGATAAAATAATGTGAGAGTACAGTAACTGATACCTATGGTAATACGAACAAAGTACTAAGTACTATGGATTCATAGAAGAAATTAACTTAATCTGGAGGAGGGTATGCACTTACGGCTTCACTGAAGAAATAACATTAAAGCTGAGGAGAATGGCACTGAGATAAATTTTTGGCTTTATAAATAACATGGAACTGTAAATGATTTTGGTAGCTTAAGTAAGATCAGTGAAGTTTTTTCTCCTTTTTATTTTTCCTTCAGTAAGTGTACATGATGGATGAAAGATCTAAAGGAAAGGTAGGCTGTTCAATAAGCAAGAATGACTGGATTGAGGATAAGTAAAGGATTAAAAGGGAAATTAGAAAAAAACAGAAGGGCCAGAGCATACCTAAACTGCACTGAAAGCTAAAATATTTAGACCTGATGTGGACAAACTAATTTACTGAGAGCCTAAGTACTTTTATACACATTACCTCATTTAACCCTTGCAATACTCTGTGAAGAAAGCATGTAATTTTTTTTTCCAATATGCATATTAAAAAGCTAAGACTCAAAGAATTTTATTAATTTGCCTGATGTACAAATTTAATGACCGACAGAACTCAAATCCAGGCATTTTTTTTTTCACTCAGATTACAGTGTGCTCTCTATCATAACACAGCTGCTTTTATTTCTACTATTCCTCTTTGCCTGGAATACATTCCACTTCACATGTCTTCTCATTCTTTAAGGACTAGCTCAAATATCACCTTCTCACTTCTTCTAAGCACTTCAATCACATCTCAATTATAGTTTCCCACACTGTGTTGTTATTGTTTACATGTCTGTCTTAACTGCTAGACTTGTCTCTCAAGGTACAGGGCTGTGTCTCCTTCATTTTTGTATCTCCAATGTCTAAGGGAATACCTAGAACACAGTTAAAAAAAAAAAAAAAACAACCATTGCTGTCAAGTCAATTCTAACTTGTAGCAACCCTGTAGGACAGAGTAGAACTGCACCATAGGGTTTCCAAGGAGTGGCTGGTGGATTCAAACTGCCAACCTTTTGGTTAGCAGCCAAGCTCTTAACCACTGTGCCACCAGGACTTCTGGAACATGGTAACTTATGAATAAATACTCAGAAAATAAATGATTGAAACAGAAAGACAAAGGTTTTTTTTTAGCATGGAATAAAATAAAAGCAGAAGTTTTTTTTTTTTTTTTTTTTTTAAAGTTTCTTATTCCTTTAAATTTCTGGAAACTTTTTCTTCCAGGTGTAGGTATTGGCATACAAAATGAAGTGGAAATAGGTCCAGTTACAGGGTTCTTAGTTTTAATAAAAGCCTATGACTTGAAATCTGATGGATTTTTGTCTGACCTATAACATCCAAACAAAAGAAGTCCCCAAGATGAAGTAGAAGACTTCAGACCAGGAGAAAAATGAAGTCAGGGAGATGAACTATAAAGCTGCTGGGATAAAGTTGTTATAGATTATGAGTCTAGACTAGGATGATTATAAAATGGAAAAATTTCTACATTCTGTTGGAACAGATAACTATCTTAGACTGAGACTACATGCAAATCCCCTAGTTCCTTGGAAGGCCCTGAAGTCAGTGCAAGACTAGATTGCCTTCTAGGGCATTAAAACATAGCATGGAACAAACACATATAATGATTTAACTGGTGGTCCAAAATCATTCTGGTGTTCTGGGGATCAGCTAAAATGTTCTGACACTTTCAAGGAAACGTAATTACATTATAAATCAATTATATTTAATTGCTAAGGAAGCAGCAGCAGCTACAAGCTCCAGATGTGTCTGAAAAGACTATATCATTGGTTAACAATAGTGAATATTAGGACTAATGTGCCATATACAGGTCTTATTAAATCAAAGTTAAGCAACCAGAACTTAAGTGTAGCAACTTGTCTATGTAATGTTTTATAACTGCAAAGTACTTTCATTTACATTGTCTAAGTCTCATAATAAACCTGTGTGAAACGTTATTCTCATTTCATATTAAATGAGAACCTCTGAAACTGAGGTTCAGAAAATACTACAGTTAATGTTAGTCTGGAACTCAAATCTTTTTCTTAAGGCTATAATCTCAGGATTCTTTCCACTAACAATTTTTCAATGGGTAGTTTCATTAATTATAAATTAACCCAATTTGAAATCTGTTAAAACTTCATCTTAAAATGACGCACAGTTGATAAGATTAAAATAGAGCTAAGATTAAACAAATGGCAAAAATTGTTTAAGTTTTCAGATAATAAAAATAGTATTATTAAGCTTTAGGTATTGGCAACAAAAAAATACTGTAGACATTCCCAACAAAAAATCTATATCAAATCTAGCCTTCTGAAAATAAAGCATAAAATCGTTAGCTAAAATGTTCTTTGAAAGGTTTTTGTTCAAACTGAAGAACATTAATATTGTCAAATTTTTACTTAAAGAGAACAACTAAATTACTTTTACCACACAGCTGGCTTTTTTAATTTTTAAGATTTTTGTACTAACTTAATTACGAAGATTTTTATATAAGATTAGAACTGATATAATCATATAATGATTTTGTCTCACAAGTAGTTTTCTTTACTAATTAGAAACAAGATCACATTTTCTGTCCAGAAATTACATAAGAGGGTATGAAGTGAAAGGAAAATGAAAGAAAACACGTGAAAGTGAAGAAGAACACATAATTAACAATAAACAAGTAAAAACTGCACAAACCTCACTCTTCTACACTTTAGCATTCACAAATGACATTGCCATCCTTGGATTTCTCTAGCACTGGGGGAAAAAATCACATTTTCTACAAAGAATGAAATTACCATACAAGATAATAGTATTAAAGAGGTCACAAAGAATAGATAATTAAATGCCAGGTAGAAACATTCTTGTTTACAAGAATGCAGAATCTGTAGAATTTTTTGAGATGAGCACCCCCACCCCTGCCACCCCAACCCCCCAAAGGACAAAAAGCATTCCTGTCTTCTGGCTTTAACTCCCATGATTTCCTCTGCTTACGCTTATACTAACTCTTCTCTCTTTTCCTTTTTTGCTTTGTTTTTAGTCCTATGTTCAAAAACATATGACAATGAAATAGATCAATATTTAAGTAATCTATTTTTTCTAATATTAGTCATATGGTCAAATATAATAATCAAACATTTGGGATTGGATAAGAAAAGTGTTTAAGAACTAACACAACCCAAGCCCTTCCTCCTCAATGAAGTCTTTCCTGACAGCTCTGGCTGGTGGTCATTTTTCCTTCTCTGACCCACTCACCTGGCACTTAATCATATATTCTTTGTGAC